AGAATATGAAAACAGATTATATTTCAAGAAACACAGTTGTAAACTGTGAGAGCTCTTTGGAAGAGGTGTTGAATAAACACGAAGGATTGTTTACAGAAAATACATTCGAAGTAGGCAAAACAAAAAGCTACGAGGCGTCAGTAAAACTTACCGATAATAAATATATTGCGCGTAAACCGTACAAATGCTCTATAGAGTGCTTTTGCATCTCCGGTAACACTTGTTTTAAAGAAGGGAGAAAGTCACGGTTATGCGTAGACTATAGTGAACTAAATAAGATAGTCATACCGGAATGCCATCCATTCCCAATTATTGATGATTTATTAATTCGAGTACGGGATTGCAAATTTTGTTCTAATGGATATTAACTCAGCCTTCTGGTCAATCTCGATCAGAGAAAAAGATAGATATAAAACTGCGTTTATTACATTACCCAAAACGGGCGATTGGTAATGGAAGTGCTTGCCTTTTGGCTTAAAATCATCTCCAGCAATATTTCAAAGAATTCTGAGTGACGTTGTTACGTTATCCGTAAAATTTTAGAAAACTCCCAAAAAGATTCAATTTCTCTAATTTCATTATTTCGAGTCAGGGTTAAATATTTGAATCTATTGGCGCCCGTTAAAGTGACACCTAGTATTTCAGGAACTCACCCCCTTTGCTTCACCTTGTTTACGTAACCATTTGATATAGTTGTTTTTTGTACAGTTCAAAGCTGTTAAATTTATTACGTAACAACGTATTGGTGAAAAATTGTCTTGAGACTTTCGCGATAAATTACATCGATGATATTTTGATTTTCTCAAAAACTTGTTCAATTCATTTACGTCACATCAACGAAGTTCTCATAGCAATAGAATCAGTTATCTATTTAGGTCATGAAATCAAAGAAAATGAGGTAAAACCCGTAAATGATAACTTAATCGCAATACAAAATTTTCCTACGCAAAAAAATGTTAGGCAACATTTGGGCAAAATAATTTTTGCTTCAAATATATACCAAAAGCTTCGATTGAGTTAGAACTACTACATAATTTACTCAGGAGAAATGTAAAATTTGAATGGACACAAGATTGTGAAGATAGCTTTAAAAAAATAAAAAAACTATCTTAACCAAAAAAGTATTTTCAAATTAGCAGATCAACAATCTGATAATCTAAAGTTCGGATTGAACTGGGTCTGGTGTTTTTAGTAATTTGGGTCCCACTCGGCCTACTTTCGAACTTCGACTGTGGGTTCACCGGTTCACATAGATGTTTTCTGCACCGGTTCTGGTCTGGTGTTTACACAGAAATGCAACCCTTTAAAAATATTTCTTCTTCAAAATTAAATTTACCCAAACGATATATGATTTATGAAGTTCTTCGGGATCTCTGTATATTTTAGCCACTCATTTGCCATATAAGTAAAAACCAATTTGAGGTTGAAAATATTGGAAGATATATCACAAATCTACAAAATGATAACAGAAACAAATACATACAGTTCACGATCCCCTGGTATTTTAGATGAAGATACCATTTTGGTGATAGACCTGGAGGTGTATCTAGAATAAAAGCAAATGAATCATCCTGCCATTCCTGTCTGATCCATCACTGCCTGTCAAATTTCTAAAATATTGAAAAAAAAAGTTAGAGAAAAATCAATTTATAGCCAAATCTAAGGTGTCATTTTTTTTGGCGGGAACTGAAGTGTCACTAGTGTCACAGCATATTATGCTGTGCTACTGTATAGTTACAGAATGCTGTGCCACAGAACACCGTTCTGTGGCTGTGCCTCCTCACCATTTATAATTTTCGATTCACAACATGGCAACACTGATCAGAAAATACAAATACAAAACAATTACCACTTGAAATCCACAAAAAAAGATAACCAAATTTTTTGTATCACATAGTAGAATTAATATTTTCGAACAATGGATATTATCCATATGGGTAATGTAATTGAGATATTGAGTATATGAATTTGAGTTAACTATGCCCTTAGAAGATTCCAAGACACAAAATGAAACAAAGATCAGATTTAGATCCTCCGCTAAAATCTTTTACAATTCTGATAGCAAAATAGAGGATTTGTTAAGAGATGAAAAACCAGAGATGTCTTGTGATGAATTCGCTAAAAAAGGTTGTTATTTCCCAGTTTAGGTTTGTTTTTCAATTTACATCTTTCAGAGTACATTCCCAGTCTGTGGTCCTTCTTAAATATCGAATTAACAAGGGATTATCAGTTGGACAATGCTGAAGAACGGTTTTCTGCTAGACGAGAAAAAATATATTCCTTTATGAGAATTCCTAAGGAAGTTGAACGATTTATGCGATATGGTCTCATGCAATGTGCTGATTCTTTTTTATATGTTTATACTTTTCTACCTATTAGGGTTATCCTGGCCTTGTGGGCTCTAGTAACCAGACCATTCTCAAAATGTTTCGGGTATGTTACTTGGAAAATATTGATTTTTCAATAATTGGCCCATTTTTTTTTCAGTCTAGGAGACACAAAAAATAAACGCATTTTGACACCTGCTGAAATATGTGATCTTTTGAAGGCTGTAATAATTATAGTTTGTAGTGTGATTATGTTTTATGTCGACACAAATATGCTGTATCATCTGATTAAGAGCCAGTCTGTCATCAAGTTATATATGTTCTACAATATGTTAGAAATAGGTGACAGATTGTTTTCTTCATTTGGTCAAGACGCTATTGATTCATTGTTTTGGACAGCAACGGAACCCAGAGGAAGAAAGAGGGAGCACTTGGGAACGCTACCCCATTTAATTTTTGCAGTTGTTTATGTCAGTATCCTTTTGTTAATTTAAGAGAAACAGATACATTTCTTGGACCTGGCCATTACACACAATCAGAATAAATTCGAGTTCAATGTCTTCAGAAAACCTAGCTATACAGACATCACTATCCGAAGCGATTCTTTCCATCCAGACAGTCATAAATTAGCAGCCTACAACTCAATGTTGCACATAGCATTCGCACTGCCTTTGTCTGCAGACAATCTAGCTAGGGAAATTGATACAATTACACAGATAGGTCATAATAATTGTTTCAACGCAGATACTATCTAGAAGTTAGTCAGGAAACAAAGCCGGAAATTCACTCACAGATTAATATATCCTCAGGTCAAACAACCAGAAATCAAGAAATGGATAACGCTAACATATTTTGGAAAAAGAACAGAAATAATCGCAGGTTTCAGGTTTCAGAAAAAACAATGTGGAAGTAGCATTCAGACCACATGCAAGGTTATCTCATTTCCTTTTCAATGCCAAAGATAAGGTCGACAAGTTGGCAAAATCTGAAGTTTATAAGCTTAAGTGTCCGGAGTATAATAGTGTTTATGTGGGACAATGCGGACGAAATTTCCAAAAACGGTATGCTGAACATGAAAGGTCCTTCAGACTAGGAAAAAATGATTCGACGTTTTCAAACCATTCCTTGGCACGCAACCACAAGTTTCCGAATCTACACGATACGGAAATTCTGCACTATGTAAGGGAGGGTTGCACACTCAATTATTTAGAATCCTTGGAAATTTACAAGCATAAACATTGCGGGTGCAACCTGTTAAATGATCAAATCAATTTAATTTACTCTCTGGTTTTTAAATTGGCACATCCGCATTGGGAACTGTAAATTCTGGTACTCAATCAAGTATATATATTATCATTGGTGGGCGTGGCTTCGTTTTTCTTGATTGGATAAAATGACCTTGTTTGTGTAACATTAAGGGCAGGTAGCCAGATTTCACTAATATTCTTTGCCTCTTCCTTTCTATTGAAATTATCCTTGCCCTTAATTATGCATATACAAGTTCGTTTTTTTGTTCAATTCAATCGAAAGAGAGAGAGAGAGTCCTTAAAATAGGCCTCTCATTTTGATGTACATGTTGAATTCAGGCAATAGATAGCTTTTATTTGGATCAGGTTATTTTTAGGAAGACAAGTGGAAATACAAAAATCAAACTTGAAATGATTTTGCTATTATTTTAAAACTTTATTTCAACTTTTCCTTAATTGCATTCAGTTTTGCATAGTCTCCTGGTTCTTTTCCAGTCAACAACAATTAATGTAGCAATCAACTCCAGGAACAAAGCACTGATGACAATAATGATGTCTAATAATGTAAGTATGATGGGTATTACCAATTTCATACAATATTTATAAATGTTTCATTCTTTGACATGCATCAATAAAAAAAACCAAATCAGTGATTTTTCTGCAGTTCAATATTCTACTTGGTAGGCCATGAATATATGTTGAGGTAAAAACCGTTCAACATTTCAGATTATTTTTAATGAAATTATTTGAGTCTGTTGTTATAGTAATTTATGATTTTTTATTCTGAAGCATATCCACATATATTATAGACCCAGTCTCTTTGGTTTTCGGAGACAAACATCGAGAGGTAGTTATTGATAATGCGATTATGCATCTCGATCATTCCATCGGATTGTGGGTAAACAGCAGTTATTTTTGTCTTCTTTATTCCCAACAGAGTCATCATTTCCTTCCATAAATCCGATTCGAAGTTGCGGCCAGGATCCGAGTGAGGTACTTCGTGCCTGGCAATTACGTTTTGCAACAGGGTTTCTGCTACCGTTTTAGCCTCTTGGTTGGGTAAGGCTACTTTCAGGCCATTTGGAAAAGTAGTTCATCACAACCATAAGGTACTTGTTATTGGATGTGGTCATAGGGATTGGTCCCAAAATGAGACCTATTTACTCCGAAATGCCCTCCAGTGTGACTTAACTGTGTCGTGAGCGTCATACCAAGTTTTGTCCAAATAGAAAATTTGCCGTTGTTTTTGTCTATATTAAGTTATTTGTTCTAAGTATTTGTTACGCAATTAATTCTACTATTCTTCTGCTTTCCATAACTGCTTGACGTTTGTTCATCATTTTAAATATAAATCCTACTTTCTTTATCCAATTCTGAAGAGTTATGTCACAGCAGCTCACGTTATGGCCGGAAGTATTCAATTTCTTCCTTATGATTTCAATTGTAGGAATATCATTGCTTTTGTAACAGTCGTATATTGTTTTTTTTAATGATTTTATTAGATGAACATCTAAAGGTTTTGGTAACCCCGTATCACATCGCGTCTTGCGTTCATAAGGTTTGTTTTTAACTATTTTACGTACATTTGAGAAAGGAATTTCGGCCAAATCTGATGTTGCTTGTGATAGTTTGTTTCCCTTGAAACCAAATTCGAGATGTAGATTCTTATATACATTGAAACATATTCTCTGTGTTTCAATATTCAAATGCATCCGAATCTTATTTACTGGTATTTTTTTTTCGCATTGTTCACCAGCGCTATTGGAATCACTATACAGGAAAAAGTCGGCGTTGTTATCACACTCGTTATTACTATTAGTACTTGTCCAAGGACGCCACATTTTAAACAGATTACAAAAATTTTAAGTAATAACTGCACCAATATAGAATTTCAACACTCAAATCGCGATCAGTTCCTGAACTGAACATTGACGACACAAGGGCGATAAACATCCCCATATTCTATTCGTCACCGGAACATGACTTCAAATTTAATTTTATGACTCTTCAGTCAATCATAAAACTCTGTTAGTACAAATTATCCAATACGAACTGCCAATTCTTCAGTCTACGTGGACTAGTTCGTAGCGGCATTATTTCTTTGTATTGGTTTTTTTTTGGCCTTTGAGATGCGGATAGCTTTAACTATTCACAATAAAGATTACTTCGACTCTACCTATGACCGTCATTTCCTTCAGCATATGGTTGCATTTCCATTGAATCCATCTGCCACAGTTCCTAAAATCCCTTTATTATTGTCTTTTGTTAGGGGAAATTTTGACGCACCGCCTTATGTAGCTCAGCCACATGCCTTTATGCGGTATTCATATTATTTATTCATGACGGAAGTCGGTTCCCGGGGTTGAGACTAATTGTCCAGTTTTAATCAGTTGACTGCTCAAATTCAACACGCTCATCTAAATTTTCAACTCGCTCAATTACTTTTTCAATTTGCTTATCGGTTTGCTCAGCTGAAGTAGTGATGTCGTGTGTATTCCTACCGATGGTGAATTGCAGTTCGTTTATTCTTGATTCAAAGCACTCGAGGTTGATTCCTTGGTTTCCCTATTGCAATCATCGACATATCCTCTAGTGACCGAGTCTTTACTGTCAACGGGTTCACCGACATTCTGCAGCCACTTATTCTGAATGTCATAATTCCCCTGTAGTGTGAGATTGAATCCAACACCAGATCTCCCAACAATTGACCTACTGATGTTACCTCTCCTACGACCAAATGTATCATTTGTGGTGTACATTGTTAGAATGTCTATGAGCAACTGAGCAGATCCTTCACACATCTCTGAATAATATACGGATAAGGTTAATGGATCAATGCTATTCAACGTTATTCTTGTATTATGGACAATATCTCATTATTGTGTCTTGGTGTGTCCAGCCATGTGCGAACTCCAAAGTAATTGAAGACGATCAACCAACTCTTCCAATTTATTCCAATAAACATAATCGATATATTTATTAATAATGAAAATGCGATCCAAGTGAGTACTTCCACCCCAGAACATAACTTCGTATTTAAGGAAAGGATAGATAGTTCCAAAGTATGCCGTTTTTAGTGCAGCTGTATTCAAGCAAGTTTTTTGTAATTTGCTCAATGTGTACGACAAGTTTAATTTGTCATCTAGATAGACCCCTAACATTTTTGTACATGATGAGAAATATAACTTTTCAGTGCCCATGTTCATAAACTCTAGAACAATGATGGAGGTATTAACTGTTCTGAAAACTATGCAATTGGTTTTGGATGTATTCAGAAGTTCATTTTGAATAAAATATGTTGGGGATGTAGAAAAAATATTCAATATATACTTTCCAAATTCATGTGGTAGTCAAGAGGTGAAACAAGATTGGAATCATTAGCATAACTGACAAGTTTGGTGGTGATGTTTTCAAAAATTTCAGGAAAATCATTTTCATAAATAATAAACAACACAGGATCTCGCACATTTCCTTGTGGAACAACTTTATAAATATCAGCTATGTCAGAGTAAAAAACTTCTGCTTGATGTTTAATGCAAACTTGTTTCTTGTTGCTAAGATAAGATTTCATAAGATCTAAAGCTTTACCGCTGATCCCAATTTTCGATGACTAGGTCATCGCTATTTCGCGTTCAATGTTTCCTCTGAGTTTTTCCAACGTCGGCTTGTTGGCATAGATCAATGATTTGACGTCTACCGGCGTTAAATCGCACGAACGAGGTGGCCAATTGACTGGTTCATTTCTTGATATAACACGCTCACCAAACTTATTCTTCAACAAATTGATTGTAACGTGAGATCTTCATGCAAAATTCGCCATAAAGTGGTGTTTGCGATGCCCAGTTCTTGAGAACGCCGCGGAATCGGCTGATTTGAATCGTTTGCTACGGACGCCTGAACGGCAGCGATATTTTAGTCACACATCACACAATGAATATGTAAACTCAAATGTTAGTACTAAACTTGTATTGCTTGTCTACTAGGGCGAGCATAACGACCGAAAATTAGAGTTCACGCTCTTAAAGTTGCGGTCACCGACTCCGATTTTCGGTAGTACATTTTTATAATTTGCACACGTTGTTCATTCGTGTACTTTGCCATGATGAAAATTTTGAGTTTACTGAAACGAAGGAAAACCTGAAAACAATTTAATTTTTTGAATGTTTCTTGTTGAGAGAATTTATAATATTCCAGGTGGTTTTTATTTTCAACACTGGATTGTAGATGTCAATTAATTGAGCACGATGATCAGAAAGGCGGGAGTCAATAACAGCTCAAGTATACCGTACTTCTGATTTGATAATGATGTTATCAATACAAGTTTTCGATCTGTTGGTTACGCGGGTATATTCATCAATTGTCAAGATGGTATTAAAAGAGTTTAGCGAATCTAAGAAGTCAGATTTATTCCACTTTCAAATTCAAATTAAAATCTCCTGCAATAATAAACGAAAACTTATTACTCACGAGAACAGAGACCATAGAGGACATTTTAGTAAAGAATACTTGCAAACTTCCATTTGTAGGTCGATATATACATGAAACCAAATACACGATATTGCCTAATAGTTGAGATTCGGCACTTGAACATTCGAAATTATTGATAACGTCCGCTTTGAACCTCTCTCCTTATAAATCACTAAAAATCCATATTTGTTCACCCAATAATTCGACATGTTTTGAAATCAATTGTTCGTCATATCAGGTCAGAAAAAATATGATTGAGGTTCATATTATCCTGTTTGAACATCACAATAACATTTGAATTATCTCGGATCACCTGTTCGGAACTCGGAAATATGTTGTGGCCAAATAAAAGCAATTCACATTTTTATGTCGACCCATACTTAAGTATGATCGGATGACGCCGTGTTTCTTACACATCACATCATCGAAAATAAATATTGAATTGGGTTTGACGTCCGATGGTTCTACTATTTCGGACGCGTTATCAGCAAAAGTTTAGAAGACCATTCCTTTCATGGAAGCTAGTACTTTACGTTAGACTGATAAAGAGACTTCGAATATAAATAAACATTTGCAAATAGCGACCTCAGACGTAGAATCAGCAGATAAATCATCACATATGTCTGAAGGTCCGATAATTAGACCTCTAACGGATAGTGGGAGTAGAGGACCATGAGTTTTTTCAACAGCACTTCTGTGCCCACTTGCCATTTTTCCATCAAAATTATCTATGGTAAAATGCTGTTTGTGTTTAACAATGTGCATCAGTATTATGGACCTGGTACGAAATTACAGAAAATATTGAAAAGCTCAATGAATAGACGGACCACGAAAGAGCTTTTCTTCCTTATATTCATGAAGTTAACGACAAAGTAAGCGGAATTCTTAAAATTTACGATATAAGAACAGTATTCACGGTCAATAATAAAATTTTCACTTTTATACGAACCCATAAGAACACAATACCCAATGACGCACAGGACATCTACGAAATACCATGTTCCAACCTCTCTGGAACTTACATCGGCCACACCAACAGAAGAATCTCAAACAGAGCCTATGAACACGAGTTTGATGTCCGTAAATCAGATCCAGCCTCATCTCCTTCAAACATCATTGTGGAACAGGCCACGCAAGCTTCGAAAACATCAAAACCATTGCCACCGAAAAAACTCTCCAGGCCAGGATAATTCGCGAAGCTATTGAAATTGAAAAACGTCCCAACTGCTGTCACGCTATACTTCCAACAATACTGCATACCTCGCTTCTGCAAGCCACAACCCTGTTTCTATTACCAACTACTCACTACTGGTCCCCTCCTTTCACTCATCCAGGGACCAGACCAGAACCTACGGACCGACAGTTGACGCTTGGGGAGCAGATTGGGGCCTTTGCGGAGACCAACGATGAGACCTGGGGAGTAAGCAGATTGGGGCCCCGGGATCAAGTTAGAAAACCCTTGCAGCGTGTCACAACCTGAGGAGTAGGCAGATTGAGACCCCCTAGTTTAGTGATGGCTTCTTGAAAATGGCTTCAAAGTCGAAGCCGATACGTCGAAGTAACAATAACACAAAATGCGGTTCAACCCGGACTTGGAACTATCAGATTTCTGACCGCAGAAACCACTTGCAACTAGTTTTTTTTCATTTTCAAGGTTTTAATATTAAAACTTTTTCCCAAAAAGGATTTGAAGCTTTGATAACTTCTAATTATTATATGCGAGAACTTTCGATAGCAGACTGTGCTATTATCTTCATGGCTCTACTCAAACTTAACGTTTTATCTTCTTGTTTGTTCTTTTATACGTTTAGATCGCCTTAGTGAATTTGTTATTGTTGGTTCATCAATAAGGGCTTTCATCCGGATGTCTCATTGAATTTGCCTGAAGTTGGGTTACATCAGGTAATTTCTCTATGTTTATTGTTTCTAGGAATGTGTATTGTTTTGTTGAGCATATTGAATGTTAGGTCTTGTTGTGTTTTGATTTGTATTTGTTCCTCGATGTGTGAATTATGGCTTTTGAATTCATGGATGTTTAGGTTTTCCCAGATGTTCATACGGTTTCATTTATTGACTTGTTTCATGAGTTTGATATTTTCTGGTGGTGGAAAGTTAGTTTGTTTTGTATGGCGTGTGTGGCGAGGTTTGATTTATTGGTTTTATGTATGCTTTTTTGTGCTCGTCGTACTTTTGGATCAGTTTTTTCTTGGTTTGGCCAATTAATTTGTTGCAGTCCAAGCTGTACACTCCGTTTAGGTTTTTGTCCCCTTTTTTTCATAGCTGTTTATTTTTTGTATTATTTTTGTGTTCGGCTTGTAAGTGATGTTGATGTTTGAGGAGTGAAATACTGTAGTACATTTTTAATTAATTAGGGTTTGGTCAGGTATTTGTCCTGCCCTTTCATCCGGATGTCTCATTGAATTTGCCTGAAGTTGGGTTACATCAGGTAATTTCTCTAGGTTTATTGTTTCTGGGAATGTGTATTGTTTTGTTGAGCATATTGAATGTTAGGTCTTGTTGTGTTTTGATTTGTATTTGTTTCTCGATATGTGAATTATGGCTTTTGAATTCATGGATGTTTAGGTTTTCCCAGAGGTTCATACGGTTTCATTTATTGACTTGTTTCATGAGTTTGATATTTTCTGGTGGTGGAAAGTTAGTTTGTTTTGTATGGCGTGTGTGGTGAGGTTTGATTTATTGGTTTTATGTATGCTTTTTTGTGCTCGTCGTACTTTTGGATCAGTTTTTTCTTGATTTGGCCAATTCATTTGTTGCAGTCCAAGCTGTACACTCCGTTTAGGTTTTTGTCTTCTTTTTTTCATAGCTGTTTATTTTTTGTATTATTTTTGTGTTCGGCTTGTAAGTGATGTTGATGTTTGAGGAGTGAAATACTGTAGTACATTTTTAGATCTATTCCGTAGGGTTCAGCCAGCGTTTTCAATGTGAGTGCAGAAAAAGTGTTTACTTACGACATCACCTCTAAAATTATCAGTGTTTCTCTACTATATTATTCATGTTATTTACATAAAAACCTTCCTCTTGAATCACTCTTTCTAATAAAAAAATCCGTTCCGTAGTTTCAAAGATCTAAGCAAACATAGGAACAGACAGCGGGAACCGACTTTGTTTTTTACTATGTAGTGATATTTTTTGTGGTCATTCAGCAAATACATTCAAGTTTGAATTTACTTTTGTTAACTCTTTATATAAATGTAAATGATGAACTACTCGAATATATATCATACTTTCAAGTATTGGTTAATTTTTTTTTACAGTTTGTCGAGCTGAAAGGTAGTGTATTCAAGAAATTCGACAAGAATAACCTATTTCAAGTCTCTTGCAGCGACGTCCGAGAGAGGTTTCATTTAACAATTCTATTATTTATTGTTATTCTTCAAACGATGCGCGAATACAGTTGGAAAACCGAACGCTTCTGGGTAATGTTACCAGATTGCTTCAGCATACTTCTCGCTGAGATGTTTGTCGACTGGATAAAACATGCTTTCATAACAAGATTCAACGAACTGAACTTGGATGTCTACAGGGACTATACAACAAGTTTAGCTTATGACGTTGCACAAACAAGACAAAAACATGCTTTTTCGGATCACTCAGATTTAGTTGCACGTCGTATGGGATTCATTCCACTACCACTTGGGGTGGTCATCATAAGGGTCTTCTTACATTCAGTTAGGGTTGAAGATTTACCTTCTGTTATAGTCTGCATAGTGGCATATCTATTCCTGGTTTCGTTCAAAGTCTTGATCAGCCTTGTAATTCTTTCGAAGGCCTGCAGTTGGATAACACAACATAAGTTAGAGAAAGCATCTTTAAACTCTCCCAGCAGCAATAGATGCAACAGCCCACTTCTAACATCTCGAAGTAGGATAGATATGACACCTAGTCCGTTGCATCCAGTAGTACACCAGCCGAATTTATTGAATAACGGATTTTCTCCCGTTGATAAAAAAGTTGGGGAGAAACAGGATATCACTACGAGTCCACCAAGTGATTTAGGTAAGTAATTTGTAATTCATCGTTTGGATTAGCGGCATCCCCAAAAGTGTTCCATTTGAAATACTTAATATTTATGATTCACCATGAAACTCATATTTTGAAAGTGAATGCATTTTCAGATCCATTCGTTGAATCTACTAGATAGCTTTAGCTATCAAAGCAAAGTCAATCCAAAAACCACCTACCCAACAAATAAAGACACCTTTTACAACTAACTTAATACCTTGTATTCCTTGCCATCTGTACTATATTCGAACGTTGAAGTATTGAAATGAAGATAACGAGGATACTGCTGAATACTAAAATAATCTACATGTCTACTTCATTTCCTGAAGACGCCAACTTGGTTGGTGACTCACATATTTCTCAATAATCCATCACTCATTGGATACGAGACGCGTGTTGTCGCGCCGACGTGATCTTAGCCTCCATCTTCAATCTTCCGGACCGCAAGGCCGGGATTTCTTCCTTCCGATTACCTGAAGACGCCAACTTGGTTGGTGACTCACATATTTCTCAATAATTCTATAACAGTGGCACTTTTTCTTCTATTCCCAATTGAACATTACAGATTATCAATCAACTACAGTTTATCTATATATCTATCCATCTAAATATAAGAATATGTATAATGAGAACTTAGAAAGATCTAATGAATTACAACAGTTGGTATTGACACTGAAACCCTTCAGTTTCAGATACCAATAGAACGTAACTGTTTTTTAAGAAAAGTAGCACCTTCCCATGACCATTTTGTTCTCTTTGACTTGGAAGATTCTTCGCAAATCATTTCCCACTATGAAAAGCAGAAAATAATTTCGTTTGGTTGAAACTACCAACCGATAGACCGGTTTCGGGGTGCTCGCCCCATCATTAGTACCGCGCATGGCCTCTTCAGAACGGTGCGAACCGTCTGAGTATCACGACCAAACAAATATAATTCGGGCTAGTCATGAAATCTTTCTGCAGTTGGATTAGTGGGATGTCCACTGCGCTACCTGCAGACCGAGCCAGGAAAAGACTCCACAAACATTCTCCGGGGTGGGAGTCGGAATAATGACTAATATTCCGGAGAGGTGCATATGACATGCTCCACGGACCATGCAGAGAAGAGGATCCGAACTCCTGACGACTTTATAGGCTGTATCCAGTACCATTCTGTCATGCAGACACTCCAAACTCAAAAGTCCACGGCCTCCCTGTTGTCGGGGGAACTACAACCGTGGAACGGACGATTCGGGTTGCAAACTTCTATAGAGATGCATAATTTTTCGGGTCTTTACGTCGAGTTGATACAGCTCCTCCCGAGTCCACTTCACTACTCCAAACGAGTAGAGTACGATTGGAATGGCAAGCATGTTTGTTGCAGCAACTTTGTTCTTCCCCGATAGTTCCGATGACCAGATCTGTCAAAGTTTGTGCTGATACTTGCCGCGGAAAGAGTTCTTCACTGCTGTTACCTCTTTTGAGTGGCGTTGTTCCACCCCGAGGTAAGTATACTTCTTTCCGGCATTCAAATGGTTTAGGATGCTTCCATCTACGAGCTGCACATCCTCTACGTAGTCACCGCATCGTTCTCTTTTGAGATGAACCATTGCACATTTGTCTATTGCATTTGAACCATTGCACATTTGTCTATCCCGAATTTCATATCGATAGCATGCACTCTTCCACCACCCTCAAGGACTGATGGAGATCCTTCTCTCCAGATGTATAAAGTTCAAGATCATCCATATAAAACAAATGGGTGACCTTGTGCTTCTGATTTCCGGGGGTGCCACAGTTATACCCTCGAGTATTTCCATCCAGGCCATAGAGAGATTACGCTTATATTGTATCGAGTTCTGCGTTATACATCTATCGATGAGCAGGTTCTCTTTACATCCAGCGACTCCTCTCTTCGACCCTCTCTGCTCATATATCCGTTCGAACACTCGGTCAACTGCGGTGAGTATACGTGTGTATAAGATGCTTGTAAACAACTTATAACAAGAATTCAAACATGTTATCGGTCTGTAATTCTTAACAATCGACAAATCTCCGCTTTTGAGATAAGAACGGTCTGCCCCTCGACAAACCAATCCGGAATCGGTTGCTCTCCGTCCAGCCATGAGTTGAAAACTCTGGCCAGGTGGCGGTGGGTGGTTGGTAGTTTTTTTCCACCAATAAGTGTTCAGCCCATGTGTGCCTCGACAGAGGGCTCTTCGAACGTCATTCGGAGTTATCGGGTGGCGCAGTTCATTGAGCTCAGGCTGTTAAAGCTCTCTGTTGAAAGCTGTGAACTGCGTTAGGGCTGGAGTGTCTAAGTTGAGTGGCTGCGGGTGTTCATAGATGTCCTTCCAGAAGGATTCCACCTGATTAGCGGTCGGTGGATTATCCATAACACGTGGAGGCTTTTGGAATGAGCGAGAAGGTTTTTCGCGGAACTTAAGGTTTTCCGCGATACTTTTCTCTCGCCTCACTAGTGACTTCTTAGCAGCCACTAGCATTCGTATCCTATCAAGGCAGTGTTGTTTGGTGGTCAGCATCACGCCTTGACTTAAAGTTGGATACGTCGTAGATTGGTGGCTATTCGCCGCACTGCGGGCGTGAAAGGCCTATTGGCCATCCTGTAATCCATCACACATTGGATACGAGACGCGTGTTGTCGCGCCGACGTGATCTTAGCCTCCATCTTCAATCTTCCGGACCGCAAGGCCGGGATTTCTTCCTTCCGATTCGGAAAGCGATTGGACGACGCTATACACGGCGGTGTTGATTTGCCAGATGTTAGCCTCTTCTGTTAGAACACTATGAACCTCCGCATCCAAACAAGCCAGTTCTTGTGGCATCAAGGGCCCAATTTTGTGGAGCGCCCTGCGTGTTTTGATTGACTCCATTGGTTGCATGATGCGAGTCTCTTCTCCAACCGTGCCAACGAGTGGTAGAACTGTCACTTCTACCACTTCGTTAGCAGGCTGGGGAAGAGCTATATAGCCCTGCCGCCGAAGATAGGATAAGTAATCCCTAAGATTTTGGGCGAAAAAGGCGGGATGCTCCGGATGTATTTCACACCACAGAGCATGCAATCTCGCCATGTACCATCTTCTTGCAGGCTCACTACTCTCGTAGCAATGCATAAGGCTATCTCTTAGCTCATGCGTCCACTCAAAGCGTCCGATGTCATTGCCAGGTTTGTCATCGGTAGGCAAATCATCGTTATGGGCCTCACCACCTTGCCTCTGACCCCTCCGAGCGGGTCGATTGTGGAGGCCCCTTCCTTGATTGCTAGTAACCAAGTGTTGGGTTCACCGGGTGGTTAGCCCAGTGGAGCCACGGCCGGCACCGGAGGAAGAATAGTGGTCTCCTTCCCGGTTGCGCATGGGTTGCCGTTTCGGTTTTGCACCAGTTGCTCGGGTAAGTGGTGGCGCAACTCACCAAAGGCCAAGGATGTTAGCGGCTATCCCTGCTTATTATTATCAGTATTATTATTATACACACATAATGACCTTTTGTTTTCAATTCATAAAATGTTTATGTGTCACTGTTTTTATATCAAGTCAATCAGTTTGAGTACACAAGGGGTAGATGATGATATTCTTATTTATTCACTCAGAATCATAACAATATGAAATTAATGTTGATTCGAGCCTTGCAAAAGGAGAAATGTGCTATTTAAATGAATCAATCCATAAGTGGAATTTTGCATGATTATATTAATTACTTTTACATTTTAGGACCAGCGGCTATATTTGCCAACAGTACTGTCGATTTGAAAAATGCCAGCCTCAATGAAGAGTTATTGAAAGTCGAAGGAGAGGAAATTCGAATAGAACTTGTTAGTGATGACGTTACACGCAGTTTTCCTAATATAAACAGCGAATTTACAGAAGATTCTGAAAAAAGTGACATTATTGAGGATAACATAAAGAGGAGTGAGTCAGAGCCTAATTTGAATAAAACGGACAGTGATATCAGTCCAAAGTAGCGAATGTATTTTCTTAAGTTACTTGTTATATTGTTGGGAAAAAATGTAAATATAAAAATATAGTTGATATCATGGATGCTTTCTTTGGTTTCAGGGTATTACTATTTTCTCCCGTTAGCATTATTAAACAAAATGAAACAGTTACCTTTCAACATTTGTCCCTCTCTGTTGCAAGTTCTTGGTACCCCAAGAAGACAGTCCACATATCTCTTCAGCAACCTGCGGTTTTTGAGAATTTGTTCTACATTTATTTTGTCGTATGTTGGTGTGTATGCAAGGCAGAAACTAAGTGACGCAAGAATGATCAGTACCTTCATTTTGAGTATCTTTTTCACAAAAACTGTAATAACTATATCGTTTGTACCTTCTATTTTTTCCTTTATATATGTACTTTACAAGTTTGGAGAAATTCACATGAGGTGATTTAACTAACATCAAATTGTAATAAGGACGTAAGAAACATTACGTTTAAAATTTGTCTGGACGATAGTCATTTCAAAAAAATTAAAGATAATTGTTTTGAAGAATGGCAGAAGGAATTAAAGAAAATCGAACTGTGAGATAAAAATCAATTATGCTTTAATAAGTGAGCAATTTAAATTAGTGATGCACAATCAAATGATGTAAGTAAATGAAAATATAAAGAAGACATAAGGAAACTAGAAAGGAATGGCTTCTCAGTTTTTCAATCAACTGAAGACATTTTGCCAGCTTCAGTTAGTTTTCACTTGAACTCTGGTGAAATTATTAGTATGTATGATTGAAAATGTTATTATACAATGCTCATATTGAGTAGAATTTAGTCTATTCAAAAACACTACACGTATTGCTTTTTTGTGAAACTGTTCAGTGAATATCTCACAATGAAATCTCCTGGGTTTTCATTAGGATCGGCCGATTCCATCAAATATATAATTTAGTCGGTATGAAAACGCTTGACGAAGCTATTACACGTGTTGCGGTTTTGTGAACTGCTCAGTGAATATCTCACAATAAAATCTCCTGAGTCGTACATTTGTTAGGTGATCGAGTTCCCCAGGGAGATTCAGGTTCACAGATGCGTTGAGCCTCCTCAAACAAAGTTTTAATTACCTTTCAATTTTGTAGTAAGTAGCTGCTGGTTAGAGTTTTCATTCAGGTACCTGTATATGTGTGTTGGTTTCCTATACACTCAATGCCCAGTGTCCCATCTTCACGTCTGCTCATGAGAATATCCAAGAAGGCTATGTTTCCTTGGGTTTTTCGTTCCATTGTGAATTATATTTTTGGGTTGAGAGAGTTTACCAATCAATAGACAATCGCTTGGTATCTTTTCACTATCTTGCCATACCATGAACGTGTCATCAACACAACGCAGCCAAAAATATGGTTTCACGGCCGTTTGCTCTATGAATATATATTAGGTAAGGTTAGGTCCAAAGAGAGTGAGTCTATTCGACCCTCCACCGCAACTCGCAAGGGTTTACTGTGGCTTACACCTATTCACACTCGACTAAATAAACCCAGCTTCTAAACGAAGCTGTTTGACATCGCAGTTCATCTCTACTGTAGTCCAACAACTGTTTGGTATCAAGCTTCGAAGGATAAATAAACGCCTTGGAGTGAGCCAATCCTGAAAGATTCTGCCAGAAGTTCATGAATCTTCTTGACAGGCAGCTGTTTGGCAAAGCCTAAAGCGATGCCAATAAAGTTGCCGATAAAGTTGCTTGCAGCCTCATTGCCTTCTAGGCCAGTATGGCCAGGAATCCAGACCAGAGACAATTTGTTGAGTCTTCCTATCGAGGAGAGTCGTTTTTGGCAATTTGCTACCAATTTAGACGTTGCTCGGTAGAAGTCAAGAGCTTCCAACGCCGCTTGACTGTCCGAGAATATTTTCATTGACTTGTGTATGGGATTCTTCCAATCTCTCCGCACACAATTCAATAGCGTAAATTTTCGCTTGAAATACAGTCGGATAGGTTCCTAGGCAGGTTGATATCTCTATCCTGGGTCTGCGACTGAAAATAGCTGCACCAGAACGTGAAGGTGTTTTTGATCCATTTGTGAACCAACAACTATCTGCTCTCATATCTCCTTCTCTAAGAATATATAGAGAGGAAATAAAAATTCAGAAACACAGAGATAATTTAGCTAGAAAGGAAGAGTCAGTGCATATTACTGAAATCTGACTACTTGTCCTCAATTGTACACAATCAAGGTCATTCAATCCAATTGAGAGAAACGAATCCACGCTCACCAATGATGATATTAAACCGGAGACAAATTTCAATATTTTAATTTCTGCGTTTGGGAACAACTTGAGCATTGGACTCCGTTACCTTGATGTCAACCGCAGTAGTAGACGAAATGTCATGCATAAAAACCTACATAACACGGTCAAAAAACCTGGAAAATAGCTTCGACACACAATAACCTGTCCGAATATTTTTTTGATACCTATATGATGGAATTGGCCTGTTTAGTGAAAATCCCACAATAAAGTGTTTTTTGAATAGGTTTTTTTTCATATCAAAGGCGTCATGGCCAAAAACCACTATTTTGAAGACTATTTTTTCAAATATGTTCATCCACGCATCTACATCAGTCGAATAAAAACATTCAAGTTTCATACATTTTCAATCAGATAAAGAACTCATACATGCCCCTATACACAAAATTGATATTTTACGAACTATAATCAAATAAGTAATTTTGTATATCGCAAATGGCAGTTGACATTGGCATAAAGGATTTGATAAATATTTAAGTTGATTACAGAACAGATCAATATGGGGATCCCATTGTGTCTCAAGAGTTTAACTCATCAATAATTCCGAGTTGTGGTAATTCCTATCTGTATGAAAGATGATGTTTGCCGTATTTGATTACATTTTAGTATTTTTTTTTCTGAAGTGTTCGTAACTTTCTTCATTTCATTTGCCTTAACTTAGTGTCATCGCCATATAATACAACATAGGTATTTGAGTAATTATAGAGAGAGTTGATTGAATCATTCGCATATAACATAAATAACAAATGGCACAGAATTGAGCACTGGGGATCCCGTGTTCAATGTTCAAAGAGTTACTTTGATTGTTCTTAATTACTATACTTTACTGCCATATTGCTTCAACCTCAAAAGCAATAGCTTGTGATTTACACAATCAAAAACAGCGAAAAGTCGAAACATAATCCTCCATCCAGAGTAGTGATTTCATTTTCGTGAAAATCAATCAATTAGGTTTCAGTGAATTTGTTGTTTGTGAATCCATGTTGACAAGAAAGTAATTACTTGGGTTTGTAGTCAAAAAAAGAGTAGTTTTTTTATATCAATTCCTTGCTGACTAGACAACATACTCATCACCCCGTAGTTGATGGGGGTTAACCGCCACTGAATGTCTTTACTGATTTGTCGCAAGGCAATGCATTAGAGTTTTTGATGTGGTGTGCCCAAAGGGGAAGTTTCAAGTCCTATATTGGTTTGCAAATGTATATAAATGGACTGCCTAGAAAAATGGACTACCGAAACCGGTCGTAAAAAATAAAAATCGAAGTAGAAATTAGACAAAAGTATTTCCTTTACCTCATATTTTCCTGTGAATTGGGTGAATCCCATTTTCGCCAGATAAATTTATTAAGTATGCAAATGGAAAACAAATTCTTGGCTGCATTTTTATGATCAACAGTCAATGATTAAAATACAATATGAACGTCAATAGAAATTAAATAACAATTGATTAGTACTTTCAGTTATATTTCAATATCAATTTGGTAAGACCCACAATATTATCGATTTAACTAAGGTCGATTCCTTCTTTCTTCAGTTCATCGGCATATGTTTTTCTATAGGTACCCTCGGGATCGTAAACTGCTTCCAGTTCGTTCCACCATGCTCTTTTTTCCTTGATAAGGTAGTGTATCATCTTTCTAGCACCTTCTTTTTGTTTCTCATTGCATTTTTCACATCTAGTTTTGAGTGCATCAGGCAAAATCTCTGAAAAAATAAGTTTTGATTAAAATACCGATAAACAGATTTTTTTTTTATTTTTTGTTTATTCTTGGTCGGTTTTCCTAAGGTGGAAAAAAATGAACTATTATGCCATTCTTATAGAACCTGTTCCACCGCGTTGAAATGGGGAATGTTCCTCTTGACGAAAATCAAGTAGTCTCCATAAAAGAACTCTAAAACAACGCATTTTAAACTTATAATTTCAATCTTTTTCTTTAAAAAAATATTTAAATACTTAAAAAAGAGGAATGAAATAATGCATTCAACATTTGAAGGGATTCGTTTCTATTTCACCATTTGGCAACATCGGTTATTGCTAATAAAAGACAATTAATCTGTTACCTGTATGAGACAAACAAACAAATGACATATTTCAGAGGCGTGCTGTTCTGTTTACTTATGTTCCGAGTTCCGAGACATTCTGTGATCTCAAATTTCCGGTGGGTGAATTTATATTTAGTACCAGCATTGTACCCGTGCGAAACCGGTGCAGATCGCTAGTATACTAGCTAGTAAGTTATGATCAAGATTCACACCATAATCTGAGAGCACATGAATGTTTCGAAAGCTTACAATCACTTTTGTGTCCTCTCATTTTTGATTTTAGATTTCCACTTGTCTGTCCAATAATTTATTTGTTGCAAGAAGTGCAAGATATGCTGTACACACTTTCAATTTCAAATAAATCTCATTAGTAATAAATTTCCCAAGGCTATTTGAATAACAGGTTCATTATTGAAGAAGTTAACAATTTGTGCAGAGAAATGTTGAATTGAAAGAATGGATCCAAAAGTAACTATATTACCATTGGTATTACAGAAATTTCTTGTATCACTGATTCATTTGATGACGCATTGTCATTTATTATTTTATATTGTCATGATATTTTTATCAGAAAGGGAGCTATGAACAATTTTTTGTAGTGTATTCTTCATCCTGAGAATGAAATTAATTTTGTTTTTTTGAGAGGGGTGAGATAAGTAAGTGCTATATCTTCCAGAACTAGTTAGTTTGATGTACCAATTCAAAATAATAGGAGCATCATCTCTTGGTATCAGAAATTGTTGGTATCACAGAATTTGAATCAATTAGTCCTTGCACTTGGCTGCACCATACTGATGATATATCAAAAGTCCAAAACACGAGTGATTTGTTCAATTAATTATCTTCTGTACTTATGTATCGATCGAAAACACAGATCATTGCATCATTGCATGCTTCATTTGCCATATTCTGGTGATGTCTGGAGTTTAGAACTAGTTCTAAACTATTTATCGAACATTTGAGCTTCCGGAAAGTTTCATTTCTCTAAAAATTATATTCCTAACTTTTTTACGAACTGTTGAAAAATTATTTCTCATCTTTATTCGGATAGATACTAAATATCACTGGNAAACCGCAGTTCTCTTTACTCATTATTGACTGTTCACATAGTATATTAATTTAACCTTCGTTAATTTCTTAGTAACAATAAATTCGATACGATATTTCAGAAAATATATGAAGTAATAAAATTTATTTCATGAAGTGGGTGACAATTTCGATGTTTTTTTGAACACTATGCTGTTTTGAACGATGCTCTATTTTTTGATTTCCACGAGATAGAGACTGTTGCCCTAAAAGGATTCATGAATACTTGTCGGAAGCATGTTTTCAATAGTTATTTGCAGAACAACATAGAAATTACTCAAATGAAAAAACAAAAATAGTTTCTTCTTTATCCTTCTCTCAAATTGAGTTGTTTATCAGAGGTGGAGGAAAGGAAGGAGTACATGAGTATGTTTAATTGTGTTCTCAAATATCAACAAATCATCTAATACAGAAATAAATTGATGGATGGATGTAGCCGTTACTACGTGGTAGGAAATCATAATGAAGAAAAGAGAATTGAAACTTCCTATGTTTTTTATCACTTTTATTTGTAACTAATGTTGCTGCAGTTTCGTCCTATAAGGACATTTTCAAACTTATACATTATACATCAATTCAGAAATATTTACAATATATTAAATGTGGGGTGGTGGGGTACACAGTTTTTTCACCTCACTCACATTTTGAAAAAATATGAAACATGATTAAGAAGCCGTTGGTTTCTATTTGTCTATAGATGTACCAATAGGTTCAATTCTGGATGAAAATGTCCTCTTTTGCATCTGTATACGTATACCCCACCTGATTGATGTAATATGTATAACTCAAGAAAGGCTTTATGGATGATATTGATGATACTTAGTATTGATGTTTTTCGTATATACACAAATTCAACAAATCCAAAACAATCACTTACTTGTTTTGGATTTATTCTACGTCAGAGGTTTCACTTTTACGTTTCATCAATACAACAAATCAAAAAATTTGAATGTTCTGTCTATTATTTTCATCAAACTTGTTTTCTATCTAACTCAACTCAAATAATATATGATGTTATTACATTACCTACGATGATTAGAAAAAAAAAAGTTTCTATATGAATTCGAGTTGTTTTTTTATCGAATTAAAAAAAAATGATAAATTTTTGAAAAGAACTAATTGAAGTTAGCTAATCTACATGCACTACAACGTAAGAACAACACTGAAGAGCCACGTCGAGATCATCTCACCTAAGGCTAAAAAAACGGTGTATTACACCAAAAAAGTACAGATCCAAGAAGAGAAGAAAGAGAGAGGCTACAAAAAGTCTTTTTTTTAAGTTTCTACTTCACGTTATCTCTACCAAAAAAGCGTCTATCTGATAAAACGTTTTCCTCTGCGTTTATTGAGTTACCCTAAATTACTTTTTCACTTAATCACTGCTAAATGTTTTCTACTCTTCTGTAGTGAATGAATGAGTACATCTATGATATGAAAATCCATTTTTATTCTCCGTGTGGAAAAAAGTTTCTTTCAGCACAAAAGGAATTCATGAATTTTTGACATCTGCTGTACATACAGAATCCACACTACTTTAAAACTGAATCTAGTTATTTTGACTCCGGCTATAGGAATTCATATCAATTTTGTGAGAAAATTATTTTTCAATGAAAGCTTTCACTTTCCTTTTAGTTATACAGAATGAAAAAACTCGAGAAAATTCTTCAAGAAAATATGTTGATTATTATAACCAAAACATAAACTGCAAATTTGACAAAAACTTTTGAAAAACTAATTCCATTCGTGAAAGAATACACATGAACATAATATTGGAGAATGCACAAAAATATTTTTCTCTTCTACCACACAATTAACTTAGTAATAGTACCTTATAATCAATGAATCAATAGGAGGGTCAAAAGGTTATTTTCAAAGAGATAAAATGTAGTACAATATTATAACAAAGTATTTATCTATAGCTACAATAAGATTTATCATTTCCTTAGAACAATGAAAGACTGAAATTGGGATTCTTTCACTTCATCATACGTCCCAGTTCATCTCAGCTAAGACTCACAAGGAGACAACATTTGAAATGATTTCTGTTGGTATTTGTATGAGATGCACACAACTTTATATGCAGACTGATGCATTATATTATGCTAAAAACTCACGAAGGAGTTTTCAACATTAAAACAACAAGTATTGTATACAAGTCAATACTTGTATACAATACTTGTGTAGCAAAACACTGGAATAGCACTGTCTTGAAAAGCAAAAAACTATCGTTATACACAGTTTGACTATGATTCCAGTCAGAATAGAGATGAAAGGAAATAAATATGCTGTTAGACATTTTCTTGAAGCAATAATTGGTACATAGAAAAATGATACTGAGACCAAATAGAATGATCTAATGAAAAAACCTTGAAAAATAAATAATCAGTAAAATCCTGGAAATTGTCATCCAGAGACCGCAAAACACGAGCGATAAAGCGGTTGAGATTCGGATATTCTGATTATACTTATATTCCCCTGATGATTGAATATAAAATATAATTTAGGATATTTTGCGATATAAAAAAGGTTTATTTTTACTTTTGTTGTTTTCTGACCCAAGTACCATCAGAGATACAAGGAAATATTCAAAATAAAATAAAATTAAAATCGAATCAATTCGCCTTCTGCTGATGTCCCAAGGAATAATGAATATCTAACATGCCTGAACATCTTTCTTTCCCAAAATGTCAAATAATGGAAAAAAATGGATGAATTTCTCCAGAAAACTCAGTTTCCTTATAGGTTTGAACTTGAATTAAAATCATGATTTCCAAAATTTTAAGATGGTATAGACCAAGTAGTCTCTACCTAAATTATTGAGATATCAAAAAACAACATGAATAACTTCAGAAGAGGTATGTATGGCTTCTCAACTTACTTTTCAACTCCTCTCCATCCTTTGTACAATTCTTCTTGCTCAAAAGACAGTCTACGTAATTACGTAGTAATCTATCGTTTTTGATAATAGCATCCAAATCTACGTTGTCATATTTAGTGGTATACTTTTCATCTGGTCTGGCGTTCACAAATACGCAAAAAGTAAACAATACACACAAAACAAGAGTAACTTTCATTTTCGAAATTATTTAACGAAATCAGTACAGAAAATGTCTGAAGAAGCGACACTTTCCTCATTTATATGGTTGTATTTAAACAATAGATGTTTGCAATAATTATTGTAGAGGGGCAATACTTAGAATAAATGTATTGATCACATAAGCAGAAACTATCGATGTGATTCAATCACTATAATATAAACATTTTGAAGTACATGGTTTTTTATAGGATCATTTTATGTGAATCGATATCAACCTGATGTATAGGTAAATGAATTGAGCTTTTTCCGATTAAAAATACAGTACAGGGAGTGTTCAATATATTGATTTCATTGGGTATCAAATTTTTAAAGGGAAGAATAAAATCTAACTTGACAATTGAATAGAAATTGGTTGAACGATACTTGTCAATAATGATTATGGAATGTAATGAAGGAGGAAAAGTAATTGAAATTAACCTTGTGTGATGGGATGGGTGTTTGGGATGGGTGGTAGTGAATGAGTTAATGATACAGTTTTTTACTGCGTAATATCCATGAGACTTTTTCGAATCTTCGAAAATGGTTCGATTTGTGTAGTTACACTCATTCCCCAAAAACAATGAAAATTGAAAAATATGTTTTTTTGGGAAAGTAGGTATTTATTGCGAATTTGAATATATTTGAACCGTTGATTGATTTTTGTTGTACTTGGTACTAATTAGGTAACTAATGATAATGAAAAAAGTCATAGATGAAGTAAATCTTTTGATATATAATGGATTGAAAGCAATTTCGCGTTTTGATTTTGAACTGCTTCTTGTTGGGATGTTGATCCTGAGCAGTGTTCGCGATGTTCAAATATAACAAACTGAAATTTTTGCGTCGATATGTGACAATGGATGGAACATAGATCCATCACCTCACTCCGGAATCAAAACGAACCTCATCTAAGTGGAGAACAACCGGTGAACCTCGTCCAAAGCACCATGAAGCATAAGACAACGTACCGTGTCACAAGTCAATCAAAACAATGGCAGAACTACATGAATTAAACTTCGAATTGCACCCATATCCACCGTATTGGCCAGATTTGTCTCCCAGCGATTACTGGCTGTTCGCAGACCTCAAAAAAATGCTCAACGGTAAGAAATTTTTCCCGAATGACGAGTTATTGCTGAAACTGAGGCAAAAGATAAGTCGATCCACAAAAGTGGTAATGAAATATTAGAGCGGCACCAGAGTGATTATGTGGCTCTTGATGGAGATCACGTTAATGAATAAAGCCAATTTTGAACGTAAGAAAACGAGTTTTCTTTATTAGCCCGGAAAAAGTGATAAATTCCTGTGCAGCTTTTGTCAAATATTTTTTTATATCAAAACAAGTTATTTATTTCATTATGCCGTGTAAGTTCGTGTATTTGAGGGTCGATAAGCTTTAGATATCTGCTCTACCCTAGAATTGGGGTTCAACGTCATTTATTCGTACGGTTGATCTTATGTTTATTGCCCCCATAAACCATGACTGATTAAATTACCGTTTTTGATGAAAACTCATTTCACGGAAGCCGTACAGGAATTTAATACATCTGCACATAGAGATCACTTTTCCGAAAATAAAATTTTTCCAATTTTTGTGTCCAAGGTTTTGGATAGCATTTGGTTAGGAAACATTTCAGTCGTGATTGATTTTTTACTTTTTTCATACCATTGATATTATAATATATTGAGCAAGGGACACTTACGGCTGATACTCACTTTTCACTTCAAGATTTTGAGAGCTATCAAATATCCATGATAATAATTGAACAATTTTCACAAATGTTTTTAAAATTTGTTTGATTATTATCAAGGATAGTACCAAGTAACGGGTCAGTCCATTCATAAGCTATCATATACTTCTTCGTGGTTGTTTATTAAATTGTAATTTTGTAGATGTGTTTTGTGAAATATATCAAATGGTATTTTTTTATAACGTTTAAAATATAGAAAAATTGACGACATATTTACTTTTTCATCTGCAGGAAAACCTAGAAAAACCTGCAACACCACATCATCTGAAGATCTTGGTCTGCCAATGTCCTTTCTATCATGAAACAAAATGTAGGGTGTCTCCAGAGGATCCAATAAATGTAATACATCATCAGAACACTTAGTGATACGATTAATTATCGTCAAATTTGAACTAGATCGTTTCGTCTTTGACCAAGGCGTAATAATGATCAGATTCAACTCCAGAACCACCAACTATGACCGCATGAAGATGTTCTTTTTCCAAAATATGTTAGCGTCACCCATTTATTGATTTCTGGTTGTTTGACCTGAGGATATATTAATCTGTGAATGAATTTCCGGCTTTGTTTCCTGACTAACTTCTGGATAGTATCTGCGTTGAAACCATTATTATGACCTATCTGTGTAATTGTATCAATTTCCCTAGCTAGATTGTCTGCAGACAAATGCAGTGCGAATGCTCTGTGCAACATTGAGTTGTAGGCTGCTAATTTATGACTGTCTGGATGGAAAGAATCGCTTGGGATGGTGATGTCTGTATAGCTAGGTTTCTGAAAACATTGAACTCGAACTTATTCTGATTGTGTGTAATGGCCAGGTCTAAGAAATTTATCTGTTTCTCTATCTCTGTTTCGAGTGTGAACTGAATGTTGCTATTGAGATTGTTCATGAATGTCATAAATTGGTTCAGGTGTCGTGTAGTACCTCTGAAACTGGCAAGAATATCGTCTACATATCTGTACCAAAAATGAATATGTTTTTTACCCAGGTCGGAGTTTACTATAGTGGTCTCCAAGTTGTTCATAAAAATGTCTGCTAAAAGTGGACTAATGGGTGAGCCTATTGGTAACCCTGAATTCTGTTTATAGAATTTGTTGTTGAACTGTAGGTAGCTCTGATTCAGGCACACATCGGAAGCTGTTGAAACTTCAAAGGAAGTGATATGGTCTACTTTGGCTTGATCTAATATGTCCAAAATGAGAGGCTTACACTCGTTGTGCGGTATGTTGGAGAACATACTCTCTACATCGAATGAAACTAAAATTGAATTATGTGGCATGGTTTGGTTCCTTATGTTTTCTATTGAAGTCAGTGAATTTTTAATGCTGTGAGGTGGGACGAAATTGGTAATATTTTTGAACAACTTGTTAAGACGTATTCCTAGTTCTCTTACCGGACTATTTATATACGAAACTATCGGTCTTATGGGGTTATCCTCTTTATGTGTTTTTATCAGGCCATACAGTTTAAGACAAGAGGGGTTCATGTTGGTGATTCTCCGTTTCTCTGATTCCGTGAAAATGATTTTAGTATCTAAGAGAAAATTTTTCAGTTCATTTTGACTATTTTTTGTCGGGTCTTTCTTGATGACAGTAAGGTTTTCATCTCGAATGACTGACTCAATTTTCCGAACATATGCTTCTCGTTCAATGATAACTATGGCATTCGATTCATAAGTTTTCGTGAAAACAAGATCATTAATTCTTATTTTTTTTGTATAGTTTTTATTATGCTGGTTTCTCTACTGTTTAATAAAGAGAATGGATGGTTCTGAATTGCTTCATTCATCTTGTATGCCCCTATATCTCTATTATCTATCTGTTTCAATGCAATAGCTGTATCTGTTATCAACGTATCCAAACTATTTCTATTAATTATTGTTGGTGTATATTTCGGCCCCTTGGACATTGTTGAAATTTCCTCTTTGTTAAATTCTACTTTGGTCAAGTTAATGATTCTTTCGCTGAACTGAATATCTGGTTCGACTGATTCGCTGTGTATGATATGTTGTTGTTTCTGTATTAGTACCCTAAGTTTCTTGAGTTGAGTTTGGTACTTTCGATATATGAAATCACTAATTGTAGACCTAACTTGGTCATAACCAAGGTCAGATATCCAGGTCAAACAACCAGAAATCAAGAAATGGGTAACGCTTACTTATTTTGGAAAATGAACAGAAATGATCGCAGGTTTCTTCAGAAAAAACAATGTGGAAGTAACATTCAGACCACATGCCAGGTTATCTTATTTCCTTTTCAATGCCAAAGATAAGGTCGACAAGTTGGAAAAAACTGGAGTTTATAAGCTTAAGTGTCCGGAGTGTAATAGTGTTTATGTGGGACAATGCGGACGAAATTTCCAAAAACAGTATGCTGAACATGAAAGGTCCTTCAGACTGAGAAAAAATGATTTGACGTTTTCAAACCATTCCATGGGTTGCAACCACAAGTTTCCGAATCTAAACGATACGAAAATTCTGCACTATGCAAGGAAGGGTTGCAAACTCAATCATTTAGAATCCTTGGAAATTTACAAGAATAAACATTGCGGGTGCAACCTGTTAAATGATCAAATCGATTTAATTTACTCTCCGGTTTTTAAATTGGCACATCCGCATTGTGAACTGTAAATTCAGGTACTCAATCAAGTACCTGAATGGTATATATTGGCGAATGTAATGAATCATTGTTAGTTTATTGTATTAGTTTTAGAATGTCAATATAGGACGAAACTGCAGTAATGTTAGTTACAATTAAAAGTGGTAAAAAACATGGAAATTTTCATTTCTCTTTTCACTACCCTATGATATTGTAGAAAAATCAAAAAATATCCTAACTTACGAAGTTGACGAGGATTTACATAATGTAATGTAGCACGGTTAGAAGAAGAGATCTTCTCTACCTGAGGGACGCAATTAATAATATGATCGGTAAAACCGAATCACTCTTTACATCATTTGAAAAAAAATGCGGAACATAGATTGGTTCAACTTAAATATAAATACGTCTCCTTGTATGCTATTTGCTAAATGCAGGTACCCAATATATGAGGTTATTCGTTCAATTATCGCATGCAATTACATACAAACATAATCGTTTAAGAACTGTTGAATAGGTACAAGGACAAGAAGAGGTTTATTTCATCAGTTTACGTATGAAAGTAAAGTGCATGTTTGGTGACGCGGAAACGTGTAGCGTTCCAAGCTTCAGATCGTAATTCAAACAATGATTATATTTTATTATTATGAGACCCATGATTTTTTATAACTCTACAATGCAATAAGTTTTAATTGTGAATGTAAGGACAATATAAGTTAT